ATTCACATTAATTACATAGCCTCAAAGTTACCGTATTTTTCGCACCATAAGACGCACTTTTTCCCCACAAAACAGGGGGGTGGAAAGTCTGTGCGTCTTATGGAGCGAAGAAAACAGATTATATTTTCCTGTTTTCTTCTCCTAAAAATTGGTGTGTCTTATGAAAAGGTGCATCTTATGGAGCGAAAAATACGGGTATATCTAGGATGGGGCAACTGGGGCTTTATCTCAGGGCACTGAAATCTACATGGCGCACAGATTTGCTGCTGGAAGGGGGCAAACTTGGCCCATCATAATTTGCTGCTGAAAGGGTGTCAACACAATCATTTTGACTGAGTGCACTGCCTTCAGTTACTCCTCCCCAGGCAGAAGGAAACACAACAGAAGATGAACACAGCATGGAATTGTTATGGACATTTTATGCTCAGATCCAGGCATTCCTCCTAATTCTTCCATCCTCAACCTGTGTGTGCCACTTTCACATGAACCAGCCTTAACCATTACAGCAGGAAAGCCCTGGGGCAATAAAATTGCTGTCTCTGGCTCTGTGTATCCATTAGCTTATCTCCATTTGAAAAAAATGCCCCAGAGCCTAGATGAACATATTTAAATTTTAATGTTGGCTTCTTGCTAAAACTCCCTGTGGTAAAGAAACAGTGTTGCTGTTTTTGTTACCTTCCAAAATCTTGGGGCTCTTTCAACACATAAACATTTCTGGAATGTGTTACTATCGTACTTTACAAAAGGAGATTCAAGTACTGTAGCAAGAAGCAGTATTATTGAATCTTTATAAAATAGGTATACACTCTACACCATGTTTCCCACAATGCAGTGTGCTTTAAATATTAACACCATATTATAAATCTGTAGGACTAAATTATGAAACCATTTTAAACATTAAAATATGAGCTACAGAGACCTACTAACCTTAAACATTAAACTTTAATCATCCCTGAATTAATGAAATAACCAGGATTCCCCTTGTCCACAAAATTATCCAGTTTATTATGGATAGTCTATACATGCATGCCAATTCACATTAGTTGTGCTGATGGTGCAGACTATGCAAATGGTGCAGCCAAATTGTTTATAGAGCAGATCCATTTTCTAAGCAACAGAACGCCTATAAAATTCATCATCATCATCGTTATTATTTACTGTTTTCTCCTACCACTTAACTGATTTCCATAATTCAAGCATAAATCAGCAGTAGGAGTCTGGTCACTGGTTTTACCTTATGCTTTGTATTAATTTTTGATTTCCATGTGTTCACTGTAGCTGTTCAGAAATATTACTGATTTTTGTAAATATGGGATTTCTTTCCAATATTTCATGCACAACCAAAACGGACTATAGAGACAGTCAATCCATATGGGCCATCAAGGGTAGGAAATATTCACACATATTGTTTTCTGCTTGGAGTGCTAAATGTGTTTCATATTATGCTTTGATTAAGTGCCTAACATAATCTAGTAAATCTCTTTTGAGATTGTACTTGCAGGTGCTTTCTACATCATCTCCATTTTCATCAAACAACTTATGGCTGTTCTCCTCTTCCTGCCCTTGTTCTGTTCTTATGGATGCTGGTTAACATAGTGCTGCTCCCATTGCAACCAGCAACAGGGGAAGGGCAATGTTTAGGAACATACTGAGATGTTATGAGATAGATGTCAACAGATGGTACAGACATAGGTGCAGTTTTCCAAACGGCTGCTCTTTGGGAAGCCATTGTGCTCATCCCAAATTTAGTAAGCAAGTAGAAAGCTGCATGAGCAATGTATTGGAGTCTTTGGTACCCATGTGGTCAAGGCCGCCAACAAGTTGAGAATTCCGAGTTGAGAATTCCAGATATACATGAATACATCTCCTACATAGTCCATGTTGTCAGCTGATAATTGCCCCCCACCCACTGCTTCTTGCAGTCTCCCATGCCTTTCTCATTCTGCTCGTGTTGCCAACCATGAAACATCTTTTACAATTAAGATGAATAAACCTGTGACCTTCTACATAATGTTTGTTGGCAACTGCCAGCATTTCTCACCACTGGGCATGCTTGCTAGAGTGATGGGACTTCAGCCATACAACCTATGTGGAACCAAAAATTATCTGCTTCTGCTTTACAAGTGAGAAAACACTCAAACCTCTTCCAAAAGTTGCTTAATGTGCATCAGCATGAAGTTCACACAATAGCACAATCCTTCCAGTATTGGAAAGAGAAAACATCACTGTACTCTCTCCATTATTCTAAACAAAACATTGATTCTTTCACTGATTTCTCCTAGCTAACTCTAATATTGGTGTTACCAAAACTTCACCTCAATTAAATAACATTTTGCTCTTGACAAACAAACTTTGGATGGAGTGAGACATGTGGCGGGTTGGATATTTTCACCATAATAAGAAAGCTATGTGGAACTGTCAGGTTCCTACCTCTGCACCACTGCCTGCTTAGGTTGTAAACTGATCCAAAATAGCTATAGGAATGAATAATTTTCAGAAATGCTCTGTCAACACAAACACAAATGTTCTGTCAAGCTTTAAGCATTCAACAGCTGTTACCACTGAATAATTATCCTCAATAATGATGCTCTTGAAATGCTATTTGCAAAACATTTCTTTATGCTTTTGAAGATGAGGCTGCAAGCTTACTCTCTTCCCACACCATTAGTGCAAGGCTGTTTCTTTCTTTGAGCAAGGGCATCCTTTCATTATACTTGCTTTCAGTTAATTTCAATAATCCACACACCCTCTCTGGAGCCACTACTGGCACGACCACAATGGCAAGCTAGCATTTAAATTCATTTTTCAACCTCACTTGGCTAATAGAACAAGTTTATCACTGCTGAAATACAAAGACTCCTCATCCTAAGGTGTATGTCTCTGTGGTAACTTTTTTTAAAAGCAGATCTTCATCTCCTGTCTGAGGATTACAGTGGTGCACCTCTCAGTACTACCTGCTACACATATAAAGAAAGGGTCAAGGGCCAAAGCAGAAGGCACAGGCCAGCTCTTCTTCCCTCTCAACACAATGAAAGAAGGAAGGAAGGGGGTGGGAGTAGAAGAATCTCCAACACTGAAACAGAGTTGGAAGTGATGAGGTACCAGCCCCTCACATTCACCAGAGTGTGCTCCCTAAAATCAGGAGGTGCAAAGGAACGGCAGCAGGCAACTCCCCCCCCCATTTGCCGCCTGGATGCCCCAAAGTGTAGTCCCACCACAACCACAGCGCCCTCCTCTCTAGCTTGCACCCTTCCCTACGCAGGGGCAGAATGATATCTCTCTGCCAGATTCTGAATGAGCACACACACCCCTTGGGCTAGAACGGCCTCTCTACTTTCCCCTGTTCAGGGTGCCCTGTCCCCCCCTCCATCTTCCCCTTCCCTTATCGCACGCTATCAAACACAGCGAGAACCCTCGCCGCCGCACTGGCGCTGCTGTCTAGGAATATCCCTCCTTCCCGTTCGCTCGCTCGCTCGCTCTCCGCATTGACAACACCGTCTCTCCCCCCCACACACACACACCTCCCGCAACCCTCGGCAGGCGTCTAGGAGTTTGGTACTTCCTGATCTGTCCTCATCCCGCTCCCCAGACCCGCAAGCCGGAGGGTATTTCCCCACAGGACCCGGGGGCCCCTCGCCTTGCTCTGTACGAGAGCCCGCAACCCGCCAGGTTTTGCCTAGGAAGGCGGCTTTCCCGCTTGAGGATGTCCTCTCGTTGTGCCTCGATCTACCCAAGAGCCGCCCAGCGTCACCGTGCCGGAGGATCAGGGCACCCCGCCCTTCCCCCTCCCGCTCTCCCCCCCCCGGCGCACGCCCCT